AGCAGCTTCTCTGAAAACCTGCCAGTCTGTTTGATCAAAACAGTCTCTCAGTTTGGGGCTTCTGTCCTGGATCCAAATATTTTTTTGACTTCCAGTAAGATGGCGCCCGTGTACATGGCTTGCAATCCACCTCTGCTGATGGTGTTCGGATTATTTTTGTTTTTTGCATTTCACATCTGTGACATCAACTCTCTGCAGGTGTATGACAGACAACAACTTTTGGATCTTCGTTTTTCTGTCACTGATGTCGCTTATTTAGACCATTATCAGCATACCTCTGGACCCCCCCCCCCCCCCCCCCCCCCGCTGGCGGACATGCCAGCTTACCTTCGCTGCGCTCCTCTCCTGCCTGCCTGGAGATATCGCTTCAGACGCTGGGGAAAATGTGCTGGTCAGCTGGTGAAGCTGAAAGCTCTGCGCGCTGCATCTTCCTCTTCAGTCTGTGGTCATGGTCTCCATCGCCAGCTTCCTGTGTGCCCAGACCAGGTAACCAACGGGAGTTGTCAGCCGATGCACCGCTCGGACCGACCTGGAGGGGCTGTTATTGAAAATCTGCGGCCATTAGCGCGCGCTCCCTCCACCGCTGCTGGCTCCACTTCGGACAGTATCTGGATGCGTTTGGTCAACGCAAGATCTGTTACCAACAAAACTTTTATCCTCAGGGACTACTTTCAAGAGCACGGGTAAGACTTTTTTGGCATCACAGAGACTTGGATGTCTCCGGGTGAGTCCAGCGCCTTGATGGAATTATTTCCACCGAACTGTCTGTATTTTAACACCCCGCGGCCATTAGGCCGGCGCGGTGGTGGATTATTAACAATATTCAAATCAACTTTTGACTGTAAACAACTGCCCATCCCAGTTTCCCGCGTCAGCTTTGAGCTGAGCGTCTTTGACCTCGGACATTCACCTCCGACTTTATTTGCACTCGTCTACCATCCACCTCGATCTAAGGATTTCATAAATGAGTTTTCTGACTTCTTGGCTGAAATCACACCAAAATATGAGCATGTTTTCATTATTGGGGACTTTAATTTGCACGTGTGCTATCCTGAGATGCCCTTGGTTAAGGACTTTTTAGATTTATTGGACTCATTTAATCTAACTCAGCATGTAAACGGTCCCACCCAACAGTGTGGACATACACTGGACCTTGTTTTAACTCATGATGTGACTGTTAATAATCTTGTTATTGGTGAAAATGTTTTTTCAGACCACATACCAGTCCAGTTTGAGTTCACCCTCCTCCATCTAACTCCTAAGCTGTGCATTGTTGCACGTAGTACCTGGGCTATTAACCACTTCACTGCCGCACGTTTCACAGATGTTTATAACTCTGAAATGATCATTCAGCCCCCAGTGTTTCTCACCACCACTGAGGAACTGACATCCCAGTTCAACTCTGTCTGCTTAAAGACTCTGGATCATGTTGCACCTGTTAAAACCAAAAAAATCAAAACTCAGAGCAGAACCTTGGCTGAGTGACGTCACCAAGGCCGTTAGGCAGCAGTGTGGGAGGGCGGAGCGAAAGTGGAGTTAAGACAGGCAACAGGTCTCTTTCCAAATACTTAAATTGGCGCCGTTATCAGAAAGCAGTGAAAGCTGCTAAATCTAAATACTTTTCTGATATAATTACCTCAAACTCTCACAACCCACGTGTCCTCTTCTCCACCATAAACTCTGTTCTCCACTTCACTGAACCATCACCTCTGGAAGCCTCGACTGAGCTGTGCAACAACTTCTTACATTTCTTTTTGGAAAAAATTGCGACCACCCGGGCTCTCATTTCCCCTCCAACTCATGACCCATCCATCCCACCTCAGTCTGTTGCTCTATTTGACCATTTTGAACCCATCACTCTGTCTTGTCTAGATCAGGTCATGTGCAGCTTGAAACCTTCTGGCTCTCCCTTTGATGTGGTCCCCCCTCGACTACTAAAGGAGGTTTTTCCAACTCCAGGTCCGTCCATTCTTGCTATATTAGACAGTAGTTTATCCACTGGTGTGGTGCCAAAATCCTTTAAACATGCTGCTGTCCATCCTCTCCTGAAAAAAACAAACCTTGACCCCTCAGTCGTATCCAACTACCGGCCTGTATCCAAACTCCCATTTGCTTCTAAACTACTGGAGAAAATAGTCGAGTCCCAGTTGAAGTGCTTCCTGGAGGATCACGCCATCTTAGAGCTGTTCCAATCTGGCTTTAAACCTCTCCACAGCACTGAAACTGCCCTGCTGAAGGTCTTTAACGACATCTTCAGATCCACAGATACTGGTGATTCTGTGCTGCTTGTCCTGTTGGACCTCACAGCCGCCTTTGACACCATCGACCATGAGATCCTCATTGCTAGGTTGGAGCAGTGGGTGGGCATCACAGGATCAGCCCTCAATTGGTTCAGATCTTAACTCGCTGACAGATCCTTTTGTGTCTCCATCAAGGATTTTAGTTCCGCAGAGGCAGAGCTTAAATGTGGGGTTCCGCACAGGTCCATTCTGGGTCCCCTCCTATTCTCTTTATACCTGCTGCCGCTTGGTGGTATTTTCCGGAAACACAACATGCCCTTCCACTTCTATGCTGATGACTGTCAAATTTACTTCCCTCTAAGACACAATGGTACATGCTCTATTCAACTGCTGCTCGACTGCCTGGCTGGCATCAGGGACTGGATGGCTTTAAACTTCTTAAGTTTCAATGAAAAGAAGTCTGAAGTCATGTTGTTCCCTCCCAACAACACGATCACAAACCACTGTATCGAGCTTTCCGCTTTAACCCTGTCAGGAAAACAAAGAGTCACTAATCTGGGAGTGATAATGGACCCTTCCCTGAAACTTTACAATCACGTAAACGTGATTGTTAAGTCATGCTTCTTCCAACTGAGGCAGCTGTCTAAACTGAAGCCCATATTGTCCAAAAAGAACCTGGAGACAGTAATACATGCATTCATTGCATCTAGGCTTGATTACTGCAATTCGCTCCTGTTTGGTATCAGTCAGACCTCCATTGCACGACTACAACTGGTCCAGAATGCAGCAGCCCTATTTTTAACCAGTACAGGCAAAAGAGAGCACATTACACCAGTTTTGGCCTCCCTGCACTGGTTACCGGTTCACCTTCAAATCCAGTTCAAAATACTCCTGTATGTCTACAAATCACTGAACAGTGTCGTCGTCCCCCCCCCCCAATCTCTCTGATCTGCTACAACCGTATGTCCCACCACGTTCCCTGAGGTTAGCGGACCAGTTGCTCCTCACAGTTCCAGGAACTCGTCTTAAGCGCAGAGGTGACAGGGCCTTCTCTGTAGCAGGACCAAGACTCTGGAACGAGTTACCTCTGCTTGTCAGATAGGCCCCCTACCTCTCGGTTTTCAAGTTCCGTTTAAAAACCCACTACTATTCAATAGCTTTCAACACCAGATGATCTGTTTTTTGATCCTGTATGCTCCACACTGGTTTGTCATCATTATCTGCATCGTTTTTTATGTCTATATTCTGATTTACCTCATTTTGTATATTGCTTTGTGTGTTACCTGTTGTTCTGTCTGTACAGCACTTTGGTTGGCCTTGTAGCTGTTTTAAGTGCTTTATAAATAAAGTGGTATGGTATGGTAACATTTAACTTTCTTTTGTACCGGTCTGGAGCGTCTCAGCAAGGGCATGTAAGCAGGAGCCAGGAAGATTGAGATGTGGTCTGACAGTCCTAGGTGGGGGCGTGGTTCGGCTTTGTATGCATCTTTTACTTTCGTGTAAACATGGTCCAGCGTGTTGTCTCCACGTGTTGGTGTGCCCACATGCTAGTTAAAGCTTGGGAGACAGTCCTTAAGATTCACGTGATTAAAGTCTCTGGCTACCACATAAAGAGCCTCAGGGTGATTGTTCTGCAGAGAATTGATTATATCATGAAGTTCTTGCCAGGTATCATTAGCATTAGCATCCGGAGGAAAGCAAATAATTATGATGAAAGTCACTGAACTCACGGGGTAGATAATGAGGCCAACATTTCACTATTATTTGCTCCAAAGCCTTCGAGCATGAGCTTTTTACAACAGTATAGTTCATGCACCAACTTTTACTCACGTAAATACATACTCCGCCTCCCCGTGATTTCCCCGTTAGCTCGCTGCAGCGGTCCACTCGAAAAAACTTTAGTCATCAGCTGGAAGACCGTTTTGCTTGTAATCCATGTTTCCGTGAGGCAAAGCACCGCAAACTTCATAATCTTTTCTGAGGCGCCCGCTCTCAGACGAAGTAAATCCATCTAGTTGTCCAACGAGCAGACATTCGACAGAAAGAGAGACGGCATCGGGAGTTTTCCGGATTTAGCATTAGCTCGTAGCCTCACCATAACCCCCGCCCGTCTTCTCCTCTTAAGCTGGGAGCAGCGCTTCCTACTCTGCCCGTTGGAACGCCTCTGCTGCAGCTTCCAGGTAGTTGACTTTAAGATCTGCATTCTGCCGAGCATAGTTTTGAGTTTGTTGTTGATTTCTGCTATATTTCGTGGCAAGTGTGGCAATGTGTGGCTGGTATGTGAACTGTAGAAGGTCCAGGTGTGGTTCCACCGCTGATCTGACGTGCTTCAGGACCAGCCTCTCCAGTGACTTCATGACATGTGATGTCAAAGTCACAGATCTGTAGTCACTGAGAGTTTGGGTGGTTATTTTTCGGCACCACAACCAGACATGATGTTTTCCACAGAGCAGGGACCTCAGGCTCAGGTGGAAAATGTGCTGGAAAACATCACACAGCAGGAAAACGTCACACAACTGGAAAACATCACACAGCTGGATAACATCACACAGCAGGATAACATCACACAGCTGAGCCGCACTTCCTTTCAGGAGTTTGGGGCTCAATCCATCTGGACCTGCAGACTTGCCTGGATGTAGACAGCTGAGCTCCATCCTCAAAGCCTCCTTGCTGATGGTGATTGGAGGCTCTGAGGGTGGAGGGGAGGGGTGTTAGGTGTGTGACATGTGTGGTCTGTGATCCCTGATCTTTGATTGCCAGGTGCTGACATTGCTAATGTGTGCAACGAGGCAGCGCTCATCGCTGCTCGCCACCTGTCTGACGCCATCAGCCCGAAACACTTCGAGCAGGCTATCGAGAGAGTCATTGGAGGTAAGATATTGGACCACAACCTGTCCCAGGACAGCTGTGGACACAAGTGGGGTGGACACAGTCTCACCTGGCGGGCTGGCAGTGAGGCAGCCTCATCACCTGAAGGTGAGGCCGTCACCTGAAGGTGAGGCTGTCTCACCTGAAGGTGAGGCTGTCTCACCTGAAGGTGAGGCGGCCTCACCTGAAGGTGACGGCTGAGGTCGTCACCTTCAGGTGTGGCTGCCTCACCTGAAGGTGACGACCTCACCTGAAGGTGAGACAGCCTCAACTGAGAAACATCTCTCCCGTGGACTGGAGGTCTGGAGAAGAAAACGCAGGTCCTTCATCCAGAGGAGAAGGAGACGGTGGCGTATCACGAGGCAGGCCACGCCGTGGCCGGTTGGTTCCTGGAGCATACCGACCCGCTGCTGAAGGTCCGCTTCCTGTTTGTTCTGAGCTTCCTGTCTACTGATGCTAGTCTTCATGATCCCTTTGCTCACCTGTGCAGGTGTCCATCATCCCTCGGGGGAAAGGCTTGGGTTATGCTCATTACCTGCCCAAAGAGCAGTACTTGTACACCAAAGACCAGCTGATGGACCGCATGTGCATGACCCTGGGGGGCCGGGTCTCTGAGGAGATCTTCTTTGGACGGATCACGACTGGAGCTCAGGATGACCTGCAGAAGGTCACACAGAGTGCTTACGCCCAGGTGAGGTCCGGTTCCTCCTCAGGTGACTCACCTGACTGATAAAGATGCATTGTGTTCCATTCAGCTGACGGTTCTGCGTGTTCTCTTGCAGATTGTTCAGTTCGGGATGAACCCGAAGGTGGGCCAGGTGTCCTTTGATCTGCCCCGGCAGGGAGAGATGGTTCTGGAGAAACCTTACAGTGAGGCTACGGCCCGGTTGATCGACACTGAGGTGCGAGCATTGATCGACGAGGCATACCAGAGAACCCAGCAGCTGCTGAAGGACAAGAAGGATGAGGTGGAGAAGGTACTCGCGTCCAGCGGAGTTCTACTCCGTTTACACAATAAAGAACTGCCTGAGGAACCAGATGAGTCCACTTTCTCACGTTTGGTTTTAGACCTTTTGTCCTGATCAAATCCAGAGCCTTGGTCCTCAAAGGTCCTCAGGACTGGTTTCTAATGTTGAACCTGGTAGATAATAGGTGGTTTGTGGTCAGGGTTCTTCAGCCAGAGATTCTGCTCCGCTGTATAACCTGCATGTTTTGGATGTTGGCGGTCCAGAAAACTGTTAACCCCTGGTTCTTTTTGAGCTCCTCTGGAAAGGATGGGTTCTTGTTAGGAGAACTTATGGAGCTTGAGTCTGGATCTCAACAGCTTCCAGTGTCCTGCAGGTTTTAGATGTTTCTGTTCCAATGGTTCTGCTCAGAACATTCTTTAGAAGCTAATCTGTTTGGTCCTCAGGACCTCAGGTGTTCCAGCAGTGGTGGACCTCATGTTCTCCATACAGAGTGTGTAGTTTGTCTCTTCAGGTAGAAGAACCCTTAGAACCAGAATTGTTTAGAACCAAAAGCTTCCTGCAGAATTCTGACCCTGTTCTCTGGTTTTTCCTGGTCCAGGTGGCCCAGCGACTGCTGGAGAAAGAAGTTCTGGACAAGAACGACATGGTGGAACTTCTGGGCAAACGGCCGTTCGTTGAGAAGTCCACGTACGAGGAATTTGTGGAGGGAACTGGCGACGAGGACGAGAACACCACGCTGCCCAAGGGTCTGAAGGACTGGAACCAGGACCGGCGTGACAAGGAGGCTGGTCCGGAGGACCAGGTGGCCCACCAGATCTCCAGAGGGATGCCCTTCTAGAACCTCCTGCTGAGGTTCTGGGTTTTACAGCATCACAGTCACGGAACAACAAGTAGTTGTGGATCCTGGTCCTGTTGGGTTCTGTTACCATCAATCTGAACCATGACTCGGGTCTGCCTCTTCAGAACCTAGAACCTTCCTAAGAGGTTTTGTTTGTAGTGGTACCAGAGTTCTGGGTTGAATGTTACAGACATTCGCGATTTGTTTCAGAACAAGTTCTTCTCCACATGAACTGAAGAACCTTCAAAGACTGCATAATGCCAAGAACCCAAACAGAACCCAAACGGAATCCAAACAGAACCATCACCAGCTTTGAGTTCTCTCCTCCTTCAGCAGAACATTCATAGGGACGCAGATGTTCTGAAGGAACGTTCTCCAATTCATGTCTTTTATGGGTTATGTTTCTCTTCATCTGATCCAGAACCTGCAGAACTTCTGTAAGGGTCCACATGTGGACTGTCCTGGTCCTCCTGACAACCCAAGCCGTGAGCAGAACTTGATCAGGACTTCTCCTATTTATTGATCAGAGTTCATGTTCCTGACTGTTGCTGTGGTAACCATGATGTCATCATCACCTGATAGTTTTCAGGCTGTGCCCATTGATCCATCAGTATTGATCAGTTATTGATCAGTTATTGATCCACAGTTATTGATCCATCAGTCATTGATCAGTTATTGATCTATCAGTTATTGGCTGATTGTTAGCTCGTGGTTCACATATTGATTATTGATTATGTTATTTATGATCAACATGTCTGTTGTGCTTCATAAAGCAGCTTCAGCTGCTGAATAAAGTCTAAAAGCTGCTTCAGTTTATTTTTTTTAATCATTTATTGACCTTCATTTCATAAAGATTTTATGCCCCTTTTCCACTGTCACGGCGCGGGTCGGATATTTCCGGCTTGAAGCGCGTTTGAGGTCTTTCCACTGTTCCTGTGACCGGCTCGCCTCGCTAAATTCTGGCCCGGCTTCTCAAGGGTTCCGAGCGAGCCGCGCCGTGACGTCAGAAACACTGTCGGTCACTGATTGGTCGGGGGGAGGAGTCTGTGGAGTCTTTCCAAACAACCCGATCCACCATTTTTTTCTCTACGCTTGCCATTAGCGATAACACGAGGAGCGTATCTTTTAGTATTTTGAAGCTATACAACAACAATAATATCAAAGCCGTGGTCAAATGCAGAAGTGCAGGTGGTGTTGTGCTTGGTGGCCGACGAAAAAAGTCAAAGCGAGATAGATGGAGGATTGGAGGGTGGTTTGGACACGACTACTGCTCTACTTGAACCATTTATAGAAGATGGTGAGTGTTTTCTAACTTTAAACATATTTTAAGTTACTCATCCCATCGGTTCTGAACATATTTTTAACTAACAAAAGAGGCTGATGCCATAATAGTACAACGTCGGTGCTACGATGCTAAGCTAATTTGCATAAACGCTAACTGTCCTCGGGTCCCGTTTCTCACTGTATTTTATCCAGAACGTATTTCAGCGCGTGACGGTTCATCTCTAAACTCCACATTAAACCCTCCAAGCCTCCCGGCTCCTGCTCCTGCTCCATCAGAGGAGTCTACACCTGACAGAGCTCCATCAGAGGAGTCTACACCTGACAGAGCTCCATCAGAGGAGTCTGCACCTGACAGAGCTCCATCAGAGGAGTCTACACCATCAGCAGAGTCTACACCTGACAGAGCTCCATCACAGCCCAGCTGCACCTCACAGAGCAGCACAACGCTGCATCTTCTGTGCTCGGTAAGAACAGATGCAACATGTTCCACATCACTTTATTTGTGCCGATAAGGACTTGATTTATTTTATTTTTAAAGTAAAAAAACTAAAATGTTGAATAAATACTGAAATGGGATGAAATTATGTACACAGGGTCCCAGTTACAGACAACAAAATGTAAAATAAAAACAGTAATAAGATCTAAGATATGAATTAAGAAAAATATCAACTAAAAAACATCTACTAATAAAACACTAAGCACTAATAGCAGTAAACAATCAAAACAATACGTCAAACAGCAACATGAACTTGAGTTTGTGCAGCCTCATGAATATCTAACCAGGATAATCATGTTGCTGCTGATCAGTTTCATGTTGCTGCTGATCAGTTTCATGTTGCTGCTGATCAGTTTCATGTTGCTGCTGATCAGTTTCATGTTGCTACTGATCAGTTTCATGTTGCTGCTGATCTGTTTCATGTTGCTGCTGATCTGTTTCATGTTGCTGCTTATCTGTTTCATGTTGCTGTGTTCATGCATGCTCATCTGTTCACACAGACTCATGTCCGTGCTGCTGTTCTGTGTATTGTGTTTAATGTTTTTATGCTATTAGAGCTTATCATATTTTTAGCTGATGTTTTTCTTAGTTCATATCTTTGATCTTATTACTGTTTTTCTTTTACATTTTATTGTTGGATGTAACTGGGACCCTGTGAACATAATTTTGATCCATCACATGTACCACGTGGTGCGAATGACAAAGAATATCTGCATCTGTATAATACTTTCTGATTCATATATCCATTATTATCATTTTCATTATTTTTAAATCAATTTATTTTTCATTTTCTTATTTGATCAGTTTATTATTATTAATATATCTATTATAGCTGTTAGCTGCACCTTTCTTTGTTTTATGCATTTATTCAAAAACAGTATGTAGCTTGAATTAACCACTGTTTCTTCTTTCTAGTGAAGAGAAAGAGAAAAGAGTCCAGTAAAGAAAAGTCTTATTCCATCACTGAATGAACATGAAGAACTGAAGCGGACACAGCAGGAACAACACGTGTGTCTTCTTCTGGATGAAGCCCGTGAGACGAGGGACACACAGATACACAATCATTAGTTGGACGCAGTAGTTTTTATTTTTCTACATTTTTCACTTCTTACTTTTACTATTAAACAATTTTTTTCTTAAGTGGTGTCCTTGAACATTAAATTTCCTAAACAAATGTTACAATGTTAAGTTCATATAGTGTTTGTTTAAATTTATACTGGAAGTTGAGAAAAATTTCCAGTTGCATTTGATCTTTAATGGATCCTAAGAAAAGATTACCAGAATCTGCTCAACTGTTAATATGTTATAAATGTTTTGTTCTAGGATGAAGTGAGACAAAAACAGTCAAAAATTCAGAAAGGACAGTTATCATTTATCAGTTATCGTTTATCGTCCGTACAACTGTGACCCCTGAGAGATTCAGCTGAAAGTCCTGGTGCACCTTTTATTTGAACCTGCAGAGATTTGAACAGCTGATCTGAAGCAAACAGGCAGGAGTTCACCTGAACTGACCACTCCTGCTGTTTGATGCTCTCCTCCTTCACCACCCGTCCATCCATCCATCCATCATCCATCCATCATCCATCCATCCATCCATCCATCCATCCTCTTCTGCTTCAGGGTTGTGGGAGCAGCATCTTCACCAGGGAGGCACAGACATCAACAGCCTCCTCTTCAGCTCTTCTAGGACCCCATGGTGTTCACAGACCAACTGACTATTTATTAATTAATATCCTGATGCTGCTCAATAATCCAGGTAGAAAAATCTAAAAAGTTAAGTCTGGTCCTCTGGACATTCACAAAACAAACAATACAGTTCATAATAAATAAACTAAATGTTTTTTGTTAGTTTTGTTTTTTGAATGTCCAGAGGACCAGACTTAACTTTTTTAGATTAATAAGTAATAAATTTATGTTTTAATTTAATGAAAGACAAATCTTTAAAATTCAAGGACAAAATTTAATCTAATTGTTTTCAAGTCTGTATCTTATTGTAAAAGCAGTTTAAAAAAAAAGGCCAGATCAGAGATGAAGAAAGGGAATTTAATACATTGGGGTCGCATACAAAACAGTCCGTCGCGGGGCAGTTTATTGTGCGACACCGCGTACGCGTATGCGGTCGTAAAAATTTGAGCTTTGCACGGAGGGTACGCTGGGGGGTACGCTCGTACCTCTGCATACGTACGTGTGTACCTCTGCGTATACTGCGTATACTGGGGGCTTTAAGAGACAGCTTTTCTCTTTTTTCTGTTTTTGTATTGAACACTTTTTGAATTTATCATGTCCTGGATAACTGAGAATCTTCACCAGCATAAACATTTTCATTAGAACTTATGCAAACACAGTTGAAACCTCTGATTACTAGTTTTACATCTTTCTCTTATGCATGATTAAACTGAGTACTGAACTGAGAAAAGAAGTAAACAAGTTATTTCATAGCAGTTTTACAGCAAAACATTCAATTGTGTTCAGGAGAACTCAGAAATTTAAATTGTTCAGAAAAATGATTTCTACCGTGAGATGGCAAGAGAGTCCTTGAGGAACAATGTGGTCTTTCTCACCCTCTAAGACTGCAGGACGAATCCTCCCTTTTAGGAAGAGATACACATAATGCTTCAGATGTTATATTTCAAAGGTCACATGGAAAGGTTCTCATACAAAGGGCCTTTCAGCTTTGCTGAAATCATAATAACAGGTGTGCAATTAATTACAATAACAGGTTTTTGTTATTCTTTTTTTTACATGTATTTTTTCTGTCCAGCATTGTGAATGAGAGTCAGTCTTACTTTAAAAGTATCAAAAGAATAAAAGTTGATGGTAGAAAAACCTTGATGTGTCCCTACAATAACATCTTGTGTCATAAGCTCTCAGAAATCGGTTTCTCAGAACACACCATTGGTCGGTTCTCTATCTTTCAGATCTGAGGCAATGTGTTCAACATAATGGTACTTCCTCCAGTTATTTAATGGTCAACAATGGTGTACCACAAGGCTCAGTCTTAGGACCCACCCTCTTTACAATCTACATAGGTAATGTAGGTCAGAGCATCCCTGATGCATCCATACATTTCTATGCTGATGACACAGTTGTTTATTGTCGAGCTAAAACAGTTGCTAAGGCTTTCCAGCTTTTCCAGTCTACATTCAACATCATCCAGTCAGATTTTTTCCACCTCAAACTTGTCCTAAATGACGACAAAACCAAATGGATGCTTTTTTCAAACAGGAAGGTGGTCCCAGCAGTTCTTCCTTTGATTTTATCTTTGAATTCATTCAACCTTTATGAACGGTGTCCCTACTGAGTTTGTTGATTCCTATAAATATTTGGGTACCTTGGTCGATTCACATCTCTCTTTTAAGCTTCACATGGAAAACTTAGTAAAGAAACTGAAAGTTCAAAGTCCAGTCAAAAGTCAAAGTCACTTTATTGTCAAAAACTGCAATATGTACAGGACACACACAGGATTGAAATTACGTTACTCTCAGACCCCGGTGCAACAAAACCATTTAACATTAAAACATTTAATAAACATGAGCATAAAATGAAATAATAAAAGCATGATACTGTCTTAAATTGTACTATAGCGGGATAAAAAACATTTTAAAAAGTATATCTATAAAAATAAAATGAAATGAAGGTCCTGACATTGATATTTGTAGTGAGTGGCAAAGCAGCATATGCGGTGAATGTACATAGTGTATGTATGAAGTCCTTGATATTGGTGTAGGTAAAGTGACATATGCAATAAGGCTAGTAAAAATATATATATATCAGCAGTAGTGTAATATAAGCAGCAGTGTGAATATAAACAGTAGTATGAATGTAAACAGTAGTTTGAATATGAACAGTAGTATGAATATGAACAGTAGTATGAATATGAACAGTAGTTTGAATATGAACAGTAGTTTGAATATGAACAGTAGTATGAATATGAACAGTAGTTTGAATATAAACAGTTGTTTGAATATGAACAGTAGTATGAATATGAAC